AGATGGACATGACCTACACTGGCGTGAGAAAATGCAAGATCGCAAGATTCACCTACCATCACTCCCTGCTGATGCAAAAACGCTACCGTCACTCGCACATGCGATATCCAAAACCTAACAAGATACCATGAACGTACAGCGAAGATTCCGCCAAGCCCCACACTGCCGTTGTGATGCTGTCCACCACCGCCCCCAATGCCCGAACCCCCACCGTAGTAGGCAGAAAAGCATTGGAGCGTCCTCGTGTCGTAGAGACGGATGACTCTGTGCAGAGTACCAACGTAAACAAAGTCGCCACATGGGTGAACTTGAACCTTATTTATCGGATACACCTGAGGCAGGAATCGTATCTTTCCAACAATACTCCTCCCAAACCTCACATCCACGACGTTATGTTGTGCTCGCTTATTCTGGTTAGGCTTAGTCAAGTCATAGACCTTCAACGTCCTAAAACCACACTAAAACAATAGTAGTAATAGACACCCCCTCCCACTTGTCGTAGCTCCCACTGAACAGTATAGGCTGCCTAGGATGAAATGAGACACTGGTGACAGTGCCAACATGGTCATAATAGGTTCGAACCACCGGTCTGAGTCCATCGTCCCTCTCCCCCGCTCTCAACAGTGTCGCATCTCCCCCTGCCACCGCATGCATCCTCATCTTCGCCGTCTCCAGCACCTTAATAGACGTATCGGTGGAGCCAGAAGCACACAGTCGACCATCCGGGCTGAACGCCACACAACGAACTTCCTTCTTATGCTGTGTCGTGAACCGCAAGCGTACCTACCATCATACACACATACCGTTGTTCTCGTCGTTATTGTTTTTGTTAACAACAACAAGGCGAAGCCTTACCACAGGAGTCGGTCTAGTGACCCTCTTTGCCTCCTCAGTAATCATATCCTCTTCATACACCTCTCCTCGAGGAGCATCATCATCGTCATCGAGGTCCATCTCATCCACCTCTCTCCCCCTAAACGGCTGGTCCCTTCCCTCAGCTTCCAACTGGGCCTGCAGTCTATCCTTGTAACTAATTCTCAGATCAAGATGCTCCTCATGAGCCGACAACGGTGGATAGGGTCGACACTTAATCGTCTTCCATGTATTCGCTTCAAACCCCTTTTCCTGCCTTCTTATACTATCCGCATATACATCATAAAGGAAATCCTTTTCTATGGCTCCCCCCACGGTAAGATCAGTGCTCACATTAGCACCTCCCTGAGCATTGCCGTTGTCATTTTCCTCGTTGCTCGGCTCCACTGGTAAGCTCAAATTCAACCGTGTCGCCACGGACTTCGCCTCGTCCATCAGGCCATCACCGTAAAGTTGGGAGACCACATAGCGATAGAATCCTAACTTCTGAGCTTTGAAATTCAGCCCAACCTGAGGGGGTCTCTTCCCGCCCGTAGCCGCTGCACCAGAAGCAGCAGTGGAGGAGCCCGGCGCCTGATGATGGAAAGTAGAAGAGGCAGCAGCCATGGCTGTAATACCGATACCACAACTGCCTCAACTAGCCTGAAAAACAACCAACTACCACCCTAGAAGCCTGACGATGCCACCTTTCCCAACACCTCACATAATCGGTGATTGGATATAATGAAACTTTCTTGCGGCCTCAACTATGCGACTGCAATTCAAATAATCTTACAAAAACGCATTATCGACCTTTACCAAATCGATCACTTGGGCGCGCGCTACTATCAATCATTCAAATGCACAGCCTTTGCCTCGACTGCCCTTGCCTCTGCCGTGATCTTAGGGTCCACAATAGGCATCGGACCTCTAGGAACATTAGAGCCCTTCATGCGGTAGAATAGCATATAGGCGCTTGTATTCGGTCTTTCTAACCCACTCAATAATCGATTGACCTCTTCCTTAGTAATATCAGTTACTTCCGAGTCGTTATACTCGTGCCACTTCCCTCGAGGGGCCTCCGACCTTCGTCCCACCGTAATGTAATGGCCATTCTGAATAGTCTCGCCCTTATGCAAGATAGATCCATAGCACTCGTAATTGGCTCCACCGAAACTAAGTCGTCCATGTCCGGATACACAACCGTCTTCTCCTTCTTGAAATCACAGCTGTCGATATCAAAGGAGAAACGATAGAGAACCAAAATGAGATGCGTCGGCGGAGCGCTGCTCAGCTCAACCCATCGCTTGGCATCTCTCTTACACCCGCAGTTATCGCAACTATACTGGTTGTTGCCCGTCATCTCCTCAGGCTCCGCCCATGTCTTGAGGAGCCCATTCACGTCTAGACTCCCCTGACCCAACACTTCAGCTTCTCGAGGCACGCTGAGACCAATGTCGGTACAAGGTTCCAACCGAGTCGATATAGTGTGACACGTCTGGCACTGAGTCTTATGCACCAATTCCAAGGCGAAAATATCTCCAACTAATCTCTGTTTGCACCTAACCAACACGTGTCACCATCACTCGTGTCACCATCCCTGGACCACCTACCCTCCCAGCTTGTCCAGGATCCATCGAGCGCTCTCAGTAGTGTCCTGCTCCTCGCCCGTCCGAAAACTCGGGGGTAAAACTTTGATAAAGTCCGAGATCTCAACATACGCGTACGGCGTCAGCAACATCCTCGCAAACAGCAGGCGCAACCCATCGAGAATCTTCTTTCCTTGTTCATAGTCCTCATCCTTCAGGTCCTCCCCTTCCTGCAGTTGAAAGCCGTAGACAGATGAACAAAAGGCGTCGGTCAAGAACAACATCTGGAGGAAGACCCCGAGGTAGCACCTGATACCAACAGCCAGGCTTTTCTATGCATCTGTTGAATATGCCGATTTCAATTATCGCTCGAGAGCGTGTAGTCGATGCATTCCGATAAAACTACGGTATTCCCAGTGGTCCACTGACGTCCCACGCTGTGACTGTCGGATATCCGGAAAAAATGTCCGAGCCGGGGATCGAACCCGCGATGAATAACAACCCCACCTTTCTATTCCACTCCTATGAAAACCCTCTCCCCCTGTCTTACGTATTGTTGTAGTTCTGTATGCCAACCATATGCTTCCTGAACTTCACCGTCTCCCCATTACTTCCCGTCACATACACCAACTGTGGTTTCGTCTGAGTCGGAGGCTGAGCCAGTTGCTGATGCTGCTGTTGCTGCAAAGGCACTCCCAGATCCCCCACAACTGGTAGTAGGTAATTCGTAGGAGCCATCACAGCCGCGCCCGTCGGCAACGGACCCGTCTGCATACCAAACGACCCTTGCCTCTCCTCAGCTCCAGGAATAGGGGGAGGAGTGGTACTAATTCGTGCTGCTGTTGGTGGTAGACCCAACATAGCAGCAGTAGTAACCTGAGCGCTTCCATAAGGAGGGGTCATGTCACCAACATAGGGCCGTATAAGGTCTATGAGCTCAGTCATCAGAGTCAGAGCATACGGCGGTAGACTGTCAACCTGTCCAGCCTCCCACAGTGTTCGCAACCTCTCGTAATACGGCAACAGACTTGCGTCGAAGATCTGTGCCACGGCACCGTGGAGCAGTATCGAGCCTTGACCACGACCACCATTTTGGGAAGTCCCAGCAGGCTTAAGGATCATAAGGAGCTGCCTCAGACCATCTACTGCTGTAGTAGGGTCATGAAGCTTCGCCGAGAGTGTCCTCAGCATGGACTCAGTCATCACCCTCCAATCAGCACCACCGTTGATAGCCGATTTGTCCGAATAACACTGTCGAATGACGCAACGGAAAAAGGTGCTCACGAGAGAGTATCTAAGGTTCCAGCATGCAAGATACAGAATAGGTCCATTCGAGGCCTACATCGGATACGGGCTGCTCCATCGATCCATATTGACCATTGCCATCGCGTACTTAGGCGGAGGCATCGCCGGAACTGCTATCAATTTCACCCACAACCCCATCATATCTTCCACACTCTCCACATCTGATGCCAGCAACAAGGCCTGGACAGTTACAGCGACAGTCTCTGGTCTCAATAGGAGGAGACAAGCCTGTAGATGAGCATTCGACTTTGAAATTTTCTGCAGGTACTCAGCGAGGAGATAACAGTCAAATGTGAGAGTATTCGAAAAGTCTTTTTTAATCCGCATCATCAACCCAAAGGCCATAGGTGCGATTCGGTTGGTCGGATCAGGAGCCTCCATCCAGGAAAGGAGTAGTCTGAGGAGCTCCTCAGGATTCTGAGGCATCGTCGAAGGCACTTCCGTCCACAGCCGTAACAGACCCAGAGGAGTGCGATGATAAGTAGGATCCATAGTGAAAACGGCAACTACTAGCTGAGGAGCTTTACTGTAGAGTATCAACTCGACGCTGGCGAGAGACAGGGTTAATGATACCGGCGAGCGTAATGACGAACTTATAAAGCCGTTCCTCTTTCAAGGTTAGCTTTGATCTCCTTAGTGTACCTGAGTAAAAATGACACATGCCGGGATCGAACCTGCGCCTCTCGTCATACTTGCCGAACTCCCTCTCGATCTTCCTATTGAAGTGCTGATTACGAGCGTTGATGTAATCAACATCTTCATCGGGGTTAGCCAGACGCCGTCTAAAACGAGGCAATCCTCTCCATCACTAAAGTGCCGTTGCCACTCCCACCTCGAGAACGCCCTCCGTTTCTCCTCAGATTTTTTCAAGGCTTCAGCTAAGCGCTGCTTCCCTTCCTCAGAAGGCTTCGCGCTGACCAGATCAGTATCATCATAAAAGGCTTGGCCCATAGACTCCTTCTGCTTCTCGTATCTGATGCCCACGATGGTAGACCAACTCATGTTACGCTCACTTACTTCACTTCATTGAACTGTACATCACCAAGCTTCTTATCATGAGCTCGATAGAGAGAATCCTGAGGTTGAGCGGACAAGATTCAAAACAGGCCCATCTGAACTCCGCAGTCCCACCTCATTGAAGACCTCCCACCCAAAGGTATGATTATTGCCCTTTCTAGCTTTCTTCTCAGCACGTGCCTCAGCCATCGATGCTTGTTCAGTGAGATACCATCTCGTATGGTCCCAATCCTCTCCCTTCTTATACTCTGAAGAACACACGCAGACAACTTCTCCCAACCATCACAGCTACCCCCAGCACTACTTTTCCGTCTCCCTACCGTTCCTCCCTCAACTCCTTCCTCATGAGGCGCCCCCTGTTGGGCCTCCTTCTCCTCCTTCAGCACCTCGTCCTGGTTGGCAACTCTCGCCTGCCATCAGCATAGGTAAATCTCACTAAGTAGATAAGGATTGCTCACCTGGTTCATTTTCAGTCTCAATTCGAACATCCTAGCCTCTCGCTTATTCTTAAAGCCAGCCGCCGGCTGAATTAACAACAGCCATGAAATGAGAAACGTTTATACCCGGGTAAAAACACCGTACGCGACGTCTGTGATTTTCCATTGCAGTGTAGGAAAATACTCACTTGCGTTGGCGACAACTTCTGAGGAAATTTTGGGAAATTCGCATTGGTTTCTGTACAGTGCTACCAGAATTCGTATATAAACTTCTATAACTAGTGAGGAAACTCCTGAGCTCAGCTGAGGAAAACAAACATATATTCTTCCAACACTGTATAGGAAACTCCTGAGCTCAGCTGAGGAAAACAAGCATATATTCTTCCAACACTGTATAGGAAACTCCTGAGCTCAGCTGAGGAAAACAAACATATATTCTTCCAACACTGTATGGGAAACTCCTGAGCTCAGATGAGGAAAGAGAACATATATCCCTCCAACCCTGTATAGGAAACTCCTGAGCTCAGCTGAGGAAAACAAACATATATTCCTCCAACACTGTATAGGAAACTCCTGAGCTCAGCTGAGGGAGGCGAACATATATTCCTCCAACACTGTTCCATTGTGACAAAATTAATAATACCACTACTACATACACACCTCATCCAACCGATCCCAAGACCCTCCCTACCTTCACAGGAGTAGGAGGTATTTCCTCAACCTCCGACTCGTCGCTACTACTCGCCTCCTCCTCGAGGTCTATCGCCATGTCCTCCACAGACCCCTCAGTCTCCGCAGCGTTATCCAACAGCTTTTTACCTGAAATGAATTTTCTACGTACTCAACGAAAGAAATAGAAAATTCCCACCGAGAGAAGCAGCAGTAGCTATTCCTTCAGCTCTGAGCTGCTTGCGGCTCTTGAAACGGCCATGCTCAACTTCAGCCCTCCTTTCCTCCAACGCCTCGTCTACTTCCTTTTTGCCAACCATACCACATTTCACGATAATTATATCGACTCTCGGTCGGTCTCGCTCGTCGGTGGGGACCTTCTCGATGGCTCGAATAACCTCCATCCCTCTCGTGACCCGGCCGAAAGGGACGTGATGGAAATCCAAAGCCCGAGAGCGAGCGTAGGTGACCATGAACTGAGACGTGTTGTTGTTGCGCTCCTCTCCTTGATAGGTCGTCGTGAGGATACCAGCGCCGCTATGCTTGTTGATGAAACTGAGTACAATTATCGATTTAGATATGGAAATGGTCGGATTAGGGAGTAGTAGACTGAATAGGAAAGTAGTAGACTGAATAGGAAAGTAGTAGACTGAATAGGAAAGTAGTAGACTGAATAGGAAAGTAGTAGACTGAATAGGAAAGGAGTAGACTGAATAGGAAAGTAGTAGACTAAATAGAAAAGTAGTAGACTCAATAGGGAAGTAGTAGACTAAATAGAAAAGTAGTAGACTGAATAGGAAAGTAGTAGACTCCATAGGAAGGTAGTAGACTGAATAGGAAAGTAGTAGACTCCATAGGAAGGTAGTAGACTGAATAGACTCATGCAATCAAGAAAGCCAAAAGTAAGAGCTTCAGGGACTGGGTTAGCCGCCTTGGGGACAGTCGGGCCTTGAAGTCCCTTATGGAGGAGGCGCCCATCGACGTCGAATCGGTCGACGCCGAAGAGGCAGCATCCGCATTTTTCGGAGACACCGTCTCGCCCAGGGTATACATTCCCAGTACTCGGGTCTCTCTCGAAGATATGGGAGGACCGATCACCCGAGAGGAGCTTGAAAGTGCTATAGCTGCTCGCCCTAAAGGCCGAGCACCTGGATCTGATGACGTCGCATACGAGCACATCTCCGTAGCCTGGAAATGTAACGGCCGTTGGGCTGCCGCTCTGCGCACGCTCATAACAGCGATCCTCCAGTTCCAATATTTCCCAAGGTGCTTTCAAGGCGCCGAGGTTACCCTTCTGAGGAGAAAGGCAACCGGATGGGTGGTCCAGTTTAGACCCGTATCGCTCTCGCTGACACTTGCAAAGTATGTGAGGCCGTGATAAGCGA